ACCGCGTGTGAATCAGTTGAGTAGCTTCAGTTGGGTTACTTCACAGTACTAGGTTCAGTTAAGGTACCGAATTGCATTCAGAATGTAGGTTGCATAGGCATGAACGTACGTACGGCCCAAGTTTGGATTTGCCGATTTCGGTTCCAATTTGTTTTTGATTTTTGAGTGAGGGCTTAACGAAGTCTTCCATACATTTTTCCAGTTTACCTACCGCGCTATTCAACGTTCCATCATTGCGATTTTCCCGCCCAGGGGAGCGCTACTTGAATTAAGCCTGTTTTTCCAAAGATGACTTCAAGTAGTCCCATTCGAAAATATAATGGCTAGGGTCGGGCATTTCTTGCCATTGCCCCTTGAATGCTCGGTACCATTACAGATGTTAATTACAAGTTCCTAGGTTCACCGGAAGTGACCTAACTAGACCTCTGAAATCGAGGATACACTTGCCACATAGAAACTCTGGGCGAAGATGCATTACTGCATGAGGAGATGTAATCACATCATTGGATTAGGCTTCTAAGACTTGAAGTGCGTATCCTAAACACTGTTGCATAAGTTGCATCACTAATAAATTCTGACAGAACGTTTAACATCCCTAGGCGAACATGGGTCAGCCAAGGTGAAAGCATTGCTGACCCCATTTCTATCTACACTCAACGTCCACGGGGTCATGAATATCTCTGCAGAGCTCAGAACAAAAGCTTGGCAAAGCTCTAAGGTCTATCCCTTTGGATAGAACCAGCTTAACAATTTAAAAGGAATAACACCGATGCGTTATTTTGTATGTCATCTAACATCACCTCCCTTCTGTTAATTATTGCCTGCAACAAAATACAGACAGCAAATTGCTTTCCAGTACCTTTCATGGCTTCTTGCCCCAGTGCAGAAAGTTAGAAATGCATAAAACACGCACGAAATCATGCCGGTGGAAATGCATCGGCCAAAGCTGACGAATTTGTGTGTATGAGAGGGGGGGGGGGGCGTTTCACCATCAAGGAGCCCCTTTAGGAGCCCTCCGCACCCCTCACCCGTTACCAAGACTGGATACAAGCCGCACACTGCAAAGCACCGTGTGGCAAGCATGCGATGCTGCATGGCGTGCCTTGTAAGCAATATGACAAGTTCAGCATCTACTTTTCCTGGTACATACACATGTACACGCGCAAACGCACGCATACTATATTGTATATGTACATATATATATATATATATATATATATATATATATATATATATATATATGTTCGCTTCTCTGGACGGTATGTTCTCAATAAAGTACGCCGATGTGTAGCTTCAGTGATGAAAAAATGAGCTATGCATGGGCAAATGAATATTTTCAGCTTTTGTACGCGTGCTTGATTGCTGAAATCACACCTTTCCCTTATTCGGTAAGTCATAGATCAGTTCGCCAGTTCGCTGCGTTGAATACGCTCTGTCGCCTGCGCAGATCACATCGCGATGTAATTCACAGGTGTGTGTGTCCATCATGAGTGCATCTACACAGAACACCTCTGCTTAAATCCACTCGCGAGTGGAGTTACGCAGAATGGCGCTTCTGCGTATATCACGCCATGAGTGAATCTACACAGAACACCTTCTCTGCTTAAATCCACTCGCGAGTGGAATTACACAGAATGGCGCTTCTGTGTATATCACGTCATGAGTGGATCTACACAGAACACCTTCTCTGCTTAAATCCACTCGCGAGTGGAATTACACAGAATGGCGCTTCTGTGTATATCACGTCATGAGTGGATCTACACAGAACACCTTCTCTGCTTAAATCCACTCCGGAGTGTATATACACAGAACGGCGCTCCTGTGTAAATCCACTCAGATCTGAGTCGATTTACTCCTGAAGCCACACTTGTGTAAATCTACTCACAAGTGGATTTACACAACAGTGCGTTTACGTGTAGATCAACTCAGATCTGAGTCGATTTACACAGGGGTGGCATCCTGTGTAAATCCACTTCGCAGTGGATTTAAGCAGAGGAGCTGTTCTGTGTAGATGCACTCCTGAGTCGATTTACACGCGTCCTAGTTTATTCAGCGTTGAATTTCTGGTCGGGGCTCTGGATTAGGAAGTAAAAAATTCCCAGGCACGGACTGTAAATACTAGAAATATTAACGCGCGCTCGGGTTTAGGATAAATGTGACCCCCTAGGATTTTCTGGCATGGTCCCCGAGCGGCGAGACGTTGCTGCGCCAAATTTGGTATAACTGTAAACAATTGAATAGCAGATCGTTTGGTATCAAAAGTTAAAATGTACCCTGTAAGGTCACTGACCTAGGGCAGGTCAAAGTCAGGCCATAGATTCAGCGAAGACAATTTCTAGGAAATCGTTCAATCTGATGCAACAACAAAATGTTTGACAAAGCCATACATATGTGAAATATTTTCTTAAGCAACACAACAATTGAATGAACAAATAGCGTTGATCTAGGACCAAGTATTAAGGTCAGAATAAGGTCAAAACAAATGTGCTTTTTTCATCTAGAGTTTGTTGTATTGGGCAGATTCTGGTACTCATTTCGAATTAATTGATAACAGGAACCGCATCAAACATCGTCCATGGACTTGTTAGATCAGAAAAGGTTACTGACCTGACCCAAGTGAGCACTTCGTTTTTAGGACCGCACTACATGGCGTAATCATTGATGCTTATTCAAATGCAAAACTCAAAACAGTCTTGTATGCTTTTGATCACCATGACCTGCGAAAGGTCAAACAAGGTAACTGACCTTAAATAAACGCCAGTTGCCTTTTCCTAAGAACCGATGTCTAGGTTCTGGAGGCGCTTTGGATGCTAATCTAAAGTTTGGCCTCGCTTCAAATTGTTTGACCATAAGGTCATGGCCCCGGAACCACAAATTTTGATACACGTGAACGCACACAGGCGATTACATCCCGTGACTTTGGTGTCCCTGGCTCTCTTAGTTGCTGAGGTCTCAGGGGGTCAAAATGACCCCCAGACGAAGGATATTCAACCGGCCACCCGGGCGCGTGAGAATTTTCGGCATTATGGAAAGCCATGCAATTTCATTTCCGACACTGCAGCCATAGACACGGGCCACAGCTGTGATGTGAAACAACATAACGATTCTCATCTTAAGGCAACACAGTTTGTAACATTAAAAAGAGTGTGCAGCTGACCACAAAGTGGTGGAGAGTGATTTTTAAGCGTGGATTCAGCTCTGCAAGAGCTCTTTCTTCAACACTGATATTGCCCCAGTACGCCATGAGATAGTGTATGGGGCACGCTATATGACATTTAAAGTTGTGATCGGCTGCATGCCAAACACATTCTCTTCTTTCTCTGTGCATACAACGTCTCAGGTTTGAACGAAGCCAACGTGCTCACCGGCCGTGAGCTCGCTGCACCGGCCACTCGTGCACCAAGATCTACGCCCCAACGACCGGGACTTTTGGAATGGCCAGCAACTGATACTTAAGTGACAATGAAACCTCTGAAACGAAAACATGTATGATGTTTATGACCCATTGCACTTCATTTATCTCTGTTTTGTGTGGTTAATTGCTTTAGGAGTTATAGTGCGACGGTGCCTGATGGCCTCGGCTCCAGGTGACAATTTGGGCCGCTCCAAATTTCGCCGGTGACTGAAAGGGCACTTTTGTCCTGAGGCCAATGAATCACGTGGTCTTGCGTCGTGAGCGACGGGCACGGTGGTGTAATTCAGCATTCAGCCAGGACATCTCTTAGCGTCGCACGACATCCGGCAATACGTTTGAGCGTCGTACCAGTCTGGGACACCCCTCAAAGACAGCGGCATGACGGGTTACTTTTTGGCGCGGAGCTCGGCCCTCCTCTCCGAGGCGTCGCAAGCTGTTGTTTCACTCGACGACGAGGCGGACCGAGACGACCTTCCACGTGCCAGGTTAGGGCCATCCCATAGCGCAACGGTTGGGGACGAATTTGAAGTCGTGTGGCAGACAGGGACACCCACAAGCCGCACGACACGCAGGTCACCTCTCCCAGAGGCACAAGTCGGGACACCCACGAGCCGCACCACAGGCAGGCCACCTCTCCCAGAGGCACAGCAAGTCGGACGCTTCTCCCAAGGGCACAGCAGGCTCGGTTACTTTTTCGAGCTGCGCGGCAGCCAGGAGACGTTGTGCTGCCTGCTGCAATCCGGTGGCTGTGGTGCAACCGGACCACTGAACAGACAAGCAGACAAATCACCGACACATATCTTATCGACCGGACCACTGAACAGACCAGCAGACAAATCACCGACACATATCTTATCAACCGGACCGCTGAACAGACCAGCAGACAAATCACCGACACTTATCTTATCAACCGGACCACTGAACAGACCAGCAGACAAAACACCGATACATATCTTATCAACCGGACCGCTGAACAGACCAGCAGACAAATCACCGACACATATCTTATCAACCGGACCGGTGAACAGACCATCAGACAAATCACCGACGCATGCCTTATCAACCGGGCCGGTGAACAGACCATCAGACAAATCACCGACACATATTTTATCAACCGGACCGGTGAACAGACCAGCAGACAAAACACCGACACATATCTTGTCAACCGGACCGGTGAACAGACCATCAGACAAAACGCCGACGCATATCTTATTAAAAGCGGTAAAGACATGCATATCCAGCTGCGAAGCACCCCATGCTGCTTCCAGTGTTTTGCCGATGATGTAACAGCTGTCTTCATATAATATATCAGCAACGGGTCCCACTCTTGATGCGACTATATCACGCGGATGTCGCACATATTTCGCAAGCCCTCATCGACATGGGCTGAGTCCAAGATCATTTTCACTTGGCGTCGACAGATCGCGCACACGACGTGACCAGAATGCCTTGAGATGATCCAACACCTGATGAGACAGACGCCTGATGTATTCGTCCAACGATGTTATGTCAGGCGAATAGCGCCGAAATTATCCAACTAAGTCGGTTTGCTGACCTGTGAAGGTCAAACCAGACAATGACCGGTTTGAGCCAAATTTATTGGTCAATAAATATTTATTCACATACATGTTGGACGGGAGTCATAACATTTTTAGCATAGTGGGCGAAAAACCAAATTGTATATGTTCGGTAATACATCAACGACAAACCAAGGCACAGAGGGCGGTGCCACTGGATTAAGCGGACCTATACCTTTCTGCATGGAAGTTCGGCAAAACCAGTGGGCCCTTAAATATCACCCTGAGTATCAATATAAGATCTGTGTTGCATTCACAGATATAGCTCGGACATCGCATGCAGGTACCTAGTCAGCAAATATATTCATTATATCGGCCGCTTGCAGATACCATGTCTGTGCATGATTTCGGATTTGCTGAGAGGATTCGCAGTAGTCATCTCTCCTCCTGGCGAATCGGGCCGAGAGCGAACCAAGCGAGCGTTGAGCACGGACATCGGCTTCCTTCCGTATTCAGTGGGTTCAGCGCATGAAGGACGGGACGGCAATGTGTTGGTGTACTATAAATGCAGTGTTGGTGTTCATTCTGCGCTATTTAAAACAACAATGCAATGTCAAGCAGCGGTAAAGACGAATGTTTCAGCATATTTAATTATTTTCGGCAAATGCAATCACAGATTCCAGATTCACCAAACGAGTACATGCAATAAAGATGAGTTCATTAGACGAAAGATTGAAAGACAAAACACGCGTTATTGGAACAGTGTCAGTGGCATCCGTCACCATTACATTAAAAACAGGCATTCACTGTTATCATCACATGTTTTCATTTCAAAGCATTACGAAGCAAAAATCGCGCGGAATGAGTCAAACGTAAGCCCAGCACCTCACCATAGACACATGAGTGAGTTCGCCAACCGGGTTGAAGTAAGTTCTAAGAACAAGTATGCTCAATGTGATCTTAGCACAACTCTGCACCCACGTCGTCTGTTAATACAGTAGATTGTGCGTTTTCCGGCCGATTCTATATAACGTGAGTGACGTGCTGCGCATGGCACCACTGGCAGAACCTCTCGTGCTGATCTCAACATATGCTAGTTTACTTACACGTAAGCAGACTGGCAACAAATACACGTCCATTATGTGTGCAATGGCAACGCATTCCACACCCAGTTCAATGACAGACGTCAGGAAAAACATTGTTATCAAACGAAAACAACGACAAACGCCCCAGACATGCACTCAAGAAACCTTCGTTCCGGTATTGAGCTATGTGTTGCCAGAGCAAAGCCCATGTTGAATCATCCACATTAGTACCGTAGTAGGAGATCACTTCTTCCAGTTCGTTGGCTTTTGCTGGGAGTGCTGCTGGCTGACCTCAGACGGTCGTGAGCACGTGAGAGAGGTTAGCGAGCAGCATACCAAGGAAGTTGTCCAGCCGCCTACGTGAACGGCCAGAGGTCATGGGCTTTTGAAGGCCTTCTCCAAAATCCAATCGACGTACATGGCCACGCGTGTGTAGACGCCCGGGAACTTTGGGTGGCCGCAGCCCACGCCCGACGACACGATGCCGACCAGTTGGACGCGACCGGACGCCAGGTCCTGGTAGGTCATGGGTCCGCCCGAGTCGCCCTGAAACAGACCCCAGATCAGGATGCAGCTCCCGGGCGCTGGCCGGGCGGTGGACGCCGACAATATGTCACAAAGTCCGGCGCCGTGGCCAGGCTGACTCAAATGGCATCGCTGTTTAAACAGCGCATGTTTGATGATGTTTACAGCCGAAGAATGCATTGCGCCGAAAGATTGCGCCTGCATTATGCAGATTGACGGACATCAGAGATTAACTCGGCGCAATCTGGTGGTGTACATGCCCACACCGATAAAGCAGCGGCTACCCGTCCTTCACACACAGCAAAACAGCTATCAAGAGGGCAAAGAAAAGTAAAGTGTAACAGCACGCAATCGTGCTATCAGTTGGATGTGTATCGCGAGGCAGCAGCGTAGGTGACACGGGCCCAGTCAGCACACCTGGCACGAGTCCCTGCCGCCGCCCGTCGTGTCGTGCGCGCATATCTTAGTGTCGCCGAAGCCGGGCGCGAAGTCCGCCTGGAAGCTGTCGTCGAGGGTCCTGTAGCGGGCCTCGCAGCCGGTCGTGTTCACCAGCGGCAGTTGTACTTCCTGCAGCACCGCCGACGTCTCGCCACCTGAGAGAACCGCCGGACACACGTCAACGCACGCGCCCCTGCGCACTCGCGGCGGCACGCGGCCGGGATCGCTTTACACAAGGCATTTGCTTGGCCATATCTTACGTGACTTTGAGACGACAACAATTTTCTGTGGGCCTAATCCATTCATAGACAAACTTTCTGACGCACAGCTAAACAGCGCTGTCATCTGGCACGTGCCTCCGCATGCCCAAAATAGAAGGTTTGGACGAAGCCAGCAGCAACATAATAATTTTGTCGCCGATGTTCTGTGGGCGTACGCCAGATGAACACACACACACACACGCACACACACACACACACACACACACACACACACACACACACACACACACACACACACACACACACACACACACACACACACACACACACACACACACACACACACACACACACACACACGTGCACACGCACGCACGCATGCACGCACGCACACACGCACGCACGCACGCACGCACGCACGCACGAACACCTTTGCTTTTGTACCTTTGTTTTTGCACATATATATATATATATATATATATATATATATATATATATATATATAACGCAGTTTGCTTACTACAAAGCACCTAGAGGTGCTGGTAGGTGGCGCACACCAACATCTTCATTGCAGCATAAACTGATAAACATTGCTGCCGCACCAGTACATGCCGGCTGCGCATACTCCCAACGGACGGATGTGTGTTGTCGTCTCCTCACCGAACTCGGTGTGTCCCCAGCCGGCGACGGTGGTTGTCTGGCCGGTGAGGTCAACTCCGCGAGGCGGCAGACACACGGGCCGCACCAGTGTGCCCAGCCGCAGCGCCCGACTCAGCCGCAGCAGCGCAATGTCGTGGTGCTTGCGACGGTGCACGTACTCGGGGTGCAGGTAGATCCGGTCCACCAGGAGGTCCTGGTGCGACGCATCCGTGTCGGAGTTCAGGTCGTACTCGCCGACGCGCACCACCAGCCGGTTCCTGGGGATGCCAGATGATTCATTCAACAGGTGCGCATTGCGTCACTCGAAGGCGGAGTGAACGCGACGGACGACGCCCAGAGTACGCCATTGTGTTCTGTTGTCCTCAAACCTTCCGCACCATGTCAAAGCTTCCCCAACGTGTCAGGCACACTCGCCGACCCCGGGGTTCTCTGAACTTTCGGAGCTCATCTGTTCCTACATTCCTCAGATTCATTTTCTCCCTTTGTCTTATGTATGGATGGCAGTGAAGCTAAACCGTGAATAATGAGCATCATGGGAGAGAACAGCATATGACAGAGTAGCAGAGGCTTCATTTACTTCCCTCAGAATAAACACAATTCCCGCATTTCGTTAAATGATGTGCAACTCAACATTTTGTTCCGCGCCGACTGTTCACCCTCCCCCCCCCCCCCCTGGGTGTCTGACTGACTCACTTTCGGAACTTGCCCAGACAGTGGGCAGCGGTAACCACAAATCGTTCGTTGATGATGGCTCCACCGCAAAACCAAGAGATTTTTCGCCGGAGTCGCTCACCAATCAGAGCCTGGCGATAAGAGAACGATGTAACATCAGTGTTTGCACCATATGGAAAGATTGTGGTCAACAGGTAACATTTCCATGAGTTTCCTTTACGCGTGCCTTGCACATGCAACGTCTCCCTAGCTTATATTTTAAGAACATCATAGTAACATTTCCAAAAGCACAAACAGAAATTAAGCCAGGCGCTTGAGCATACATTAAAACAGCGCGTTTAACTAACTAACTAGCGTGCCTACATCCAGCCCGAGTAGTGTTCTGACTGACTTACGATCCATGGCCATCGCCCAACGATTGCGTCTTCACCGCCGGTGATGTAGTGAACATCTTTTAACTGCTTGCTGACACTGTCCAAATATTCTTGCGAATATATCCCATATGGATCATCCTGTTTTCTCCCCGTTCTTATTGTAAACGTTTCGCCGAACACCTCTACTGGGACGTCGAAGTCCGGAGCGTATCCCTCTTCCTCGTCTCCGTACACCAGACTGGCTTCGCCTGCCGCGGGCGGCAGGAATTTCACTCTGAACACCTGACCCTGGCCCTGAGACGCGCTTGCGTTTCCGGAGCTCGCCATGTCCTGACCCTGTGGACCGGATGCCGCTGGCCCCTGACCGTGAGGACCGGCAGCCACTGGCGCCTGACCGTGAGGGCCGGCAGTCGCTGGCTCCTGACCCTGTGGGGCGGCAGCCACTGGCGTCTGACCGTGAGGGCCGGCGATTGCCGTCTCGGCAGGCGGCGGCTCTGTGTACGGCTCGTACTCGAGGACCTCCTCCTCCTCGCCGTACTTCAGCGAGTCGTAGATGGCGAAGGGGTCGGCCGGAGCCGAGGCGTGGGAGCGGTCCAGCAGCGGGGCCGAGGCATGGGAGCGGTCCAGCGGCGAGCGCCGGCGCCGGCGCAGCTCCAGCTGGTCAAAGTCGGCGCGTACCTCGGGGCTCACCAGGCCACAGTCTGCAGCACAGAGGAACACCCGGCTCAGCACAGACAGGCTCACAGACACTGTGGATCAACGTTCACACCAGCTGTTTGAAAAATGTGTCATAATCCCTGCCGGACTGGTCGGCGCAAACCGACTTGCCCGGGCGGGGGGTTGTAAAACAGTTATTGGTTCTCCACCGGTGCATGTGGGGTCATAAAAGGTCGAATACCTTTTCAACAGAAAGGGTCAGAGTAGATTAAGCACCGGGGGATGAATGACTGCACTGTCATGTGGTTGTTGGCGTTTTAAGCTTTATTGTAGCATAAGTGAAAGCATTGTTTTAAGTAAGTGTTCCACACCTATATGGGGTTTTGAACAGAAGCCGCCATCTTCAAGACCTTTCGGTGCTGTTCACAAGGGCAGGCCCTTCTTAGACTTCGGTTCTTCGTGTTTCTGGGCGACATGCCCGCGAAAATGGGGGAAGATGCCTCGGGGAGAGTACTTCGAAGTCGCCTTGGTATTCATGAAGTCACAATAATATTATTCAAATCCTCCCATTCCCTAAGCCATGCGGCGATCAAGACCCGAAAATATGTAATTATCAAGGTGTTCGTATATTGCGCTGGTGAGCGTGATTTCCAGATGTAGCGGCCGCCAATTGGCTCTCAGTCAATGTTGTGCAAGGTACGACGACGTAAGCAAACCATGACATATTAAGGAGTATATTTACTAAACGGAAAATCTACTGTCTAGCGCGGCTGTTTTCACCTGAAAAGTATACCAATAGTTATAAGTGAGATTGTATCATCATACCTGATGCTTGCTTCAGTATCTCCAAATTTGGAACATTCCTTTTAAGAATGAACAACCTTAGGTGTGTTTGATCTGACGTTATGTGACATGCTGTTTGTTTATAATGAAGGGAAAGACGCAAGCAGCCCCGTAAAACCCTCTTGAAAACCTTCTTGAAATTGTACAATCTAGGTGGCGTTCTTACTACAACAAAACCATACCATTGCTAATGAGGTCAGCACAGGACAGATCAAGTTAGAAATATGACATTCGACCATGAGATAAGAAAATTTAAAAAAGTGGGGGAGGGGTAGGTTCAAGGTAAAATAAAAGTTACCGTCCTCTCTTAATTCGCATAATACATGTTGGACATAATTAGGTGTCATGGCTGCTACGCTGGATATACATCTAAAGCTGTTTCTCATTGGTGCACAGTCTTGCCCATCGGACTCATCAACGCCATTCGGCAAATAAGGCTTCCAGTTTCCCAAGATTACAAGTCAATTTCAACGCTGTTTTCACTGGGGAGGCGAATATGCCATACGCGAATATGCGAGGGCGCCAGACAAATTCGGGTATAGTAAACCGATCAGACACAGGGCCGAAGCCTTCAGTTACGGGTGGACGGCGCGTAAAGTAAACCGATCAGACACAGGGCCGAAGCCTTCAGTTACGGGTGGACGGCGGGTATAGTAAACCGATCAGACGCAGGGCCGAAGCCTTCAGTTACGGGTGGACGGCGGGTATAGTAAACCGATCAGACACAGGGCCGAAGCCTTCAGTTACGGGTGGACGGCGCGTATAGTAAACCGATCAGACACAGGGCCGAAGCCTTCAGTTACGGGTGGACGGCGGGTATAGTAAACCGATCAGACGCAGGGCCGAAGCCTTCAGTTATGGGTGGACGGCGGGTATAGTAAACCGATCAGACACAGGGCCGAAGCCTTCAGTTACGGGTGGACGGGCCTGACCAATCACCGACGCGAATTACATCCTAACCAAACGCACAGCTGGTTGCCTTCCGTGGCTTCATTGGCGTCAGCTCCTGGCGACCTCAGTCTACCGGTGCCGGTTTGGGGGGTCAAGTCGCTATGTACGCGCTGGCAGGGGCGCATCCAGGGTAATCAAACACGGAAGGGGGATCATCCCAATGAGATCCCATCGCTTGGGAATGGTATTGGGGTGAGGGTGGGCCTCTACATTATCGATCTTGGCTGCGGCCATGTGCGCTGTCTGGTGGACTCTGACTTGGATTGTGTGCAGTCGGTGGCAGTGGCCGTTCAATGCAGCAGGGAGGTAAGGGAGACCGTGCTAAGCATTACGGTACGTTCAACTTTTTCCATAAAACTCCACCGTAGAATTGGAAATTCACAAAAGGAAGGTGGAGCCTTAGAGCACAGACAACAATCCATCTTTGGGTGAGCTCTGATACAAAATCTTCGAACCAAAAAGGCCTTAAAGACAATAATGGCAACGATAGAAACTGTCACCCAAGCACGTTTACGGGCCGCAGTATGGACCGCAATTAGGGTTATCTGGTCCCTGGCTCAAACGGGGCCCCGCGTCCGTTTTAGGGCTCGGGCCCAGGATCTTTGAAGGTCGCGTCCGTTCGATACTAGAGCCCATGACTGGTCGGGCTCTTCTATTGTCTCATTATGGACCACTTCCATGTCACGTCTCGCATTTCCATCCCATATCAGGCAAGAAGACCTCGAACAACGGAAGTGGCTCTCTGACATTTAGGTTCCCATTCCGTTCCTCTTCAGCGGAATGTGCCTCAGGTCAACCAGGAGCTCGTTGCCGACACAGGCTTCCCTGTTAAGCTCCTTGTGCCTTGCCACAGGGATCCACCCTGTTTCAGGGACCCGGCCAACGCAGAAGGTCTTCAGTAACAGTCGTGAGCATCGGTCTTACCCGTGCTTCGTGATTGGTCCCCGGGGTCCAAGCCGACTAGAAGCCAACTGCCCAGCATTCGTGGTCTTGTGAGAACAATGCGTCCCGGAGACTGCGGAGAGGGCCCACCAGAGCCACATGTATCCTTTAGCACATCGCAGCGCTTGGGTACGCCAGGGAGCTTCTGAGGACGGCGCGACCTACTTAGGGCTGCCGCAGCGCGACCAAGGCTGCCTCGAAAGGCAGGCGACCCACTTGTTACCAAGGCCCACTCTGAAGCAACCCACGCCTGCGGACACGCTGGACCGCGCCGGAGACGCAGGGCTGCATCCGCGGCATCGCTGCTAGGCCAAGCACCGCTGCAACACGGCCGCGGAGATCACGCCGCTTGAACGCGCACGTGCGGCCGGGCCGGGGTGAACCCAGCAACGCTGCAGCACGACCGTGGAGATCACGCCGGGGTGAACCCAGCACCGCTGCAGCACGACCGTGGAGATCACGCGGCTCGGACGCGCACCTGCGGCCGAGCCGGGGTGAACCCAGCACCGCTGCAACACGGCCGCGGAGATCACGCCGCTCGGACCTGCTCAGACGTACACCTGCGGCCAGGCCGGGGTGCCCAGAGCACCGCCGCAACAACGTCGCGTAAATACCGCACGCGATGTCTGCAAACATCTCAAAACGAACGGTACCAATGTAATCACCAAATGAATGGTTGTGAATTTAGCACAACGTCGGCACTGTTGCAGGCACTGCAGCATGCTCCAGTTCGACATAGTCATCCCATTCGGGGCTTCAGAATTCCTCACCCAGGGTTTAGGATAGCATTGCAACTAGTGCGGTAATCCGTGTCAGTGATCCTAGGTACCATTGCACATTGCGACTGTATCTGGCCTAATCCTCAAAGGCCAGCCAAGTGATCTCTTGCGCCTGTCAGGAGTCCACGGAACGATCAAGGCTCCTACGTAGGGCAGAAACCCCCACGCCTAAAAGTTGATACTGTGTTGGCTTGGGCCCTCGGGACCCATTTACAAAGCAGGGACATGGTTAGGATGCGCGTTTGTTACTGAAGGCCTCCTGCTTTGATTGGGGCCCCTGAAACAAGCCACCCCTGCATCGGTCTGAGACTCGCAGTGTTATAATAGTGTGTGCGGGCAAAGAGCTCAGAGTGGACTGGGCATGCATTTCCGAAGAATAACAGGACTGGACCCTGAATGCCAGAGGGCATCTTGTGTTGATCGAGGCCCTCGGGCATTTGAAGGAAATACGATAGGTGACAAATAATTGGATCCATTATAAGGCATTAGAAGGGCCCTGCCAGTAACGGACCCCAGCACCGAAGGGTAGGTTCCTCAGGGGTCGGGGCCTGTTTCGGCCGGGTTTCGATAGCTCTAATTGTAATTCAGACACTTTTTGTGTGGCATGTTTTATGTTTATCATCATTGTCTTCCCAACCTTTATGATTGGATGAATTTCTCATCAGAGGTTACGCAAAGCAGGTTTGTTGTGCGTGCCTAACCCCACCTTCCTATCGTGATATTCCAATTCTACCGCTGACTTTTTTGGAAAAATAAATGTGTCATAATGCTTGGCACGGTCTGTCCCCATCCCGCTGCATTTTTCTTCCAAGACTATAGATGGCTTCCGACAATACAAAAGGAAGCGTGATGAGTGTTCACTGAGGTGTGCCTCCCCCTCAATCTTCAACCCCATGTAAATCATCCTGACTGCGCCTCTGCCAGTGCGTGTGGTAACATGAGCCCAATCCATACCGCTACCGGTGGGATTATCGCCAGGAGCTAAGAACAGCTTAGCTACGGGCAGCAACAAGCTGTGCTTTTGGTTACATTTTAACTCATTTTAATGATCCCCCATAGCCTTCCAGCGTCGGGTCGGTTTACTTCACCTTGTTTGAGCTGGTACCAATCGGCATCAGCCTTTCTGGTGATAAACTAGCCCGTTTTTGCTTACTGATCTAGCTGGTGATGAGGATGAGCGTTTTGGTGATAAATTCCAATTCATTTTCCCATATACGTTAATTTATTTCGCAGTGGTCTCCTACCACAGTTAAAATACCGGAGAAAGCTCTGCAACCATTTCTGGTCGCGGTTCCCTCGACCCCCGCAACACGGGAAATGCAAATAACGTTCTATACCACCGTATCATTCAAATTCCTCTGAATTCGTCACTTCATTATCAGAAGACAGCTCCTCACCACGTTGGCGTCTGCCCACAGCCGCTCGGTGTGCGCCTGTTCCGCGTACCTGGGTGCCCGATGTACCCATGCTGATTCAGCCGCTGACTGCTGAAACCGGTGGCCGGTGACGCAGCGGGTCGCTCCGATGGCACAGCGGGTCGCTCCGTCCTGGGCGGCGGGCTCGGCTGCCGGGGCCGCTGCACGGCCGGCAGCGGCTTGCCCCGGCCCGGCCTCGTGCCCAGCACGAAGTGGCCCTGCGGTCGCCGGATGGGCTGCTGCTGTGGCAGGGGCCGCCGGATCGGGCGCCACGGGTTGGCCGTCGGCCGCGGCCGGCGAGTGGGGCGCGAGGCAGTGATGAACTGACCGGAGGACTCTGGGAACGTGGTCGCCTTGTTAGTTGAAGTGCGGCTGAACTGCCGCATCATTCTGTACGATTTACTTCGTTTGCAGATCGTCGTGACTTTACATCACATGTGTCACTGTGTTAAGTATGATGGTAAACTGGTGCAGTGATCTCCAAATTTTTTGCGGCTTGTTCTCGTCCACTTGGCCGAGCTCGCCATTCAGATTGGACAGTTTACATTGCTTCTGTATCGCTCCTTGATGGGTCTCGAGGGCCTTTTGACAATGCACAAGTGTGCAGAAGACAACACCTCTGCCCTGTTTTAAAACACATACCGATTCATCGGTGTAAGATGGGAAAGCCTGGAACAACCCGCTGGACTTGTATAACTTTGGGGGATATCTCTAGCATAGCTATCCAGGGATATGTATATATATATATATATATATATATATATATATATATATATATATATATATATATATATGATCGCCTTGCTATTTACACCCGGAAAATGGGAACGCCTAGATTTCGGTTTACAGCGATGGTTTGACAATGACCATAGACTTGTCCTAGAGACATTCCCTTCACTCCTCACAGCGAAGGTTTTCGAAACCATCTCCCCGCTTCGCTCTTGGGCGGTGTGCATTCTTTGCCCTCCGGTGTCAATGTTTTCCTTATGGATCCCGCACACCGCTGAGTCTGTGTCAGTCACCAGGTAACTCATTGATGGATGGCTGACTGCCGTAGTGTCAGCAGCTACACATAGTTACGCCGGTACCATAAACACGCGCGATGTGGGCATCAGCAGCAGCACGCAGCAAAACACAGGTTAGTGCGCACAAAGCTGTGAAGATAAATGGGAAGCGACACGATGTATCACATAATTCACGCCATAACACGGCCATGGTAAGGCGACAATCTGACCACCAAGACCTGATAATGCACGCTATTCATAACTCATACGTCATACATCACATACTGGTTAACAGCAGGCTGTGATTCACAGACGATGTTTTCTAAACATGTCCTTCTCTTACTTCTGGGGCAGCAGACGATCGGGTTTTTCGGTCTGTATAAACAAATGGTTGGTTTCTTCTTTGGATATTCCTGCCGAACCGCGCGGCAGTACCGCCACGGCCGGCAGTCGCCGACAACTCCATCAGCTGTGTAGCATTTTAGCGGGTCGTCGTCTGGCGCCTGTCAGGATCCGGCTCTGACCTGGGGCGAGCCACGGCCAACTGTTGATTAGCCATGTTAGCAGACCTGACCGAACTGGGAGGGCCAGCCCTGCTTAGCAGCTCTCCAGACCATGCGATGGGGTCAAGGAATGGGTATAGCCCATCGGCTTGACGCTGCCCAAAAACATTCAACTGGAGCAAGGTGCTTCGTCATGCTTTCTGTATTGCCGGGCATCCGGCTTTGTTGTTTGCGGTTGGATAACATTTTCAGACATGTAGAGGTATCTCCGCATATGAACTACCGATAATGCAGTCATTGCTGATGAAGCTGACTGTCATGCTCGCAAATGGTGTGATGTTTAAGTAAAAGGTAGTGACCAAGAGAACATATGATAAGGATGTCTGCGCGAACAAAGCCGTAGAAAAAGTTGGCTGGACTAGCCACTTAGAATGCTGACGCTAGGAATCTCATCTTCACAAGATTTTGGACTCTGTTTGCCAATCAATTGGCAATGAAGTTTGCAAAACAAGTCCAAGAACCACGAAATCCCTTGTCAACGGGGTAAAAGGCACACTTTGTCGGCTGCAGCTGCGGTAGCTCAGTTGAATAGAGCGCTTACCTGCCGTTCCGTCCACGCGTGGCGGATTGGTCTTGGGTCGTTTTGAGCGCTCGCTCTTTGCCCCTGTCTGGGAGGGTCCCTGGCCGGCGGCAGTGATCGCACTTAAGTCGCCTGACTTAAGGCCAGGTGACGTCAGAGATCAGGACGGACCGGGCCGAGCATTACGGCAAGTTAAGCTTTCACCATCAAACTATGTCGTAGAACTGGAATTTCATGATCGGATGGTAGGGCCAGAGTTCATGCAACAAACACTGCTAAGGGTTGGCTATGATCCCATAAATCCATCCAATCACCAATCAGTAGGATCGAACTAAATGCCTCAAGACCACACACGTCTTCAGGCTTTTTTCGGGAGGGTGACATAGCCATTTGATGTAAAAGAGCTGCATGGTCGTCTTGCATCACCTAAAACCTTTCCACACAGCCCCACTCCCGCAAAAAGGTTGTTGAAATCATCCGTTTCTCATGGGTGATAGTAAAGTGGTCTGTCGCGTAATGATTGACTAAAAGATGCGTGACATGAAGATCCATGACATGAAAACAACAAGAGTTCACCGCCTCCTGTTCTTCCTGCCAGAGAGACCTCCGCAGCATTTTCTAGGCGGCGACATCCGGTCACAGGGCTAGAATGAGCGCTAAAAGAGACCCTCACCTCATCTATTGTGCCCGGCTTACCCCAGCATCCCCTTGGCAGGTTTCAGTTTATATTGTACGCCCCTTAACGTTACCAGGCGGCTACCATAGCGATATATTATGAAGCAAAATACCGGCACCGTGCACTCACTGACCCAGCTGGTACTAGGGTCGAGTCGTGTAGTCACCCGTCACAGCACCAGTGCACTCACTGACCCAGCTGGTACTAGGGCCGAGTCGTGTCGTCACCCGTCACAGCGCCGGTGCACTCACTGACCTAGCTGGTACTAGGGTCGAGTCGTGTTGTCACCCGTCACAGCACCAGTGCACTCACTGACCCAGCTGGTACTAGGGCCGAGTCGTGTCGTCACCCGTCACAGCGCCGGTGCACTCACTGACCCAGCTGGTACTAGGGCCGAGTCGTGTCGTCACCCGTCGCAGCATCGGTGCACTCACTGACCCAGCTGGTACTAGGGCCGAGTCGTGTCGTCACCCGTCACAGCACCGGTGCACTCACTGACCCAGCTGGTACTAGGGCCGAGTCGTGTCGTCACGCGTCACAGCGCCGGTGCACTCACTGACCCAGCTGGTACTAGGGCCGAGTCGTGTCGTCACCCGTCACAGCATCGGTGCACTCACTGACCCAGCTGGTACTAGGGCCGAGTCGTGTCGTCACCCGTCACAGCACCGGTGCACTCACTGACCCAGCTGGTACTAGGGCCGAGTCGTGTCGTCACCCGTCACAGCATCGGTGCACTCACTGACCCAGCTGGTACTAGGGCCGAGTCGTGTCGTCACCCGTCACAGCACCGGTGCACTCACTGACCCAGCTGGTACTAGGGCCGAGTCGTGTCGTCACCCGTCACAGCGCCGGTGCACTCACTGACCCAGCCGGTACTAGGGCCGAGTCGTGTCGTCACCCGCCACGGCACCGGTGCACGAGAAATCGCTGGCGTCATCTAACAGAGCATTGAGCAAACCCATGCCTTCTGCTGTGATATCTGCACCATTGGCACAGTGTTGTCTCTTCGTTAAAATCACGATGTCAAGTCAAAAGGGCTCACCGTGCTGTTGCCATCTATGATCGAGGTGTTACAAAATGGATTTGGGTTTGGCAATCTTGAGTTTGTGTATCTGGGAGTTTTGCGAGAGCAGATGAAGTTTCAGAGCTTAAGCCGTGGCGCGTTGTCAATGAAAAAGTGCAACAACGTATCAAAGAGCAAGAGTACGATGGCGGTGTCGCCCGGTTACAGAGCAGATTTACTACCAATGCTGGCGATTAGGAACGTCGTTAGCGGTGCTATTAGTGCGAACGTGAGCCTATTGTTTCTAAGATTTCTATTGTTTCTAAGATTGAAAGAGCCGTCGATAAAAGTTTTTCGCCGATCAGCATAGCGTGGACTGAAATCCAAACGATGTTCATGAACTCACCAAACAAGTCATGGGCACGCTCCAGATTATCGCTGTGACTCACGCATGATGAAAACGGCTGCTGAGCATGGCCAAGTCGTAATAATGATGCAGCAGCATCACTTCAGGCATGAACAGACTTGCATCCTGGAGGACTGTCCGTAAATCAAGTGATCGACGTAGGCAGGTGCGGAGCTTCAGTTGTTGAGAAAATACAAATAAAAGCGTTAAGACACTAGTTGTCTGGCAAGTTATGGCTTAAGTCAAGTTTCGCGTTTTTTGTGGAAAACTTGCTTTATCGAGTATTGCCTGATGCTTATTTCAGATTGAATGATCATAACGAAGTAAAAATATTTACTATTTTGACTTGGTGGAGACAGACAGTGGAGGCCAGGACGTCAATAAAATTAACTTGATAAACCTTCTGCTTTGAGATGCCGCCTACGGTCGTACTTGGCGACGGTTGTAAATTTAAATACCAAGATAATCTAAGAGGCTTTTTGTCAACTTTGCGGTCGCAAGGCAAAATAAGGCCACTAACCTCATATGGACAGCAGCAAGAGGGGGCCATAAGAACCTCTCCCACCACCCGAGCGCAGCGCATTCAACCGGCCGCCCGGCGACATCTCATGAGTGGGAGGGAGCCCATCCATGATAGCAGGTGGGTGTGAATGGGTGGTGAGGTGGGCTGGGTGTGGGGGATGGGGTTAGCCGCCCGGCGACATCTCATGAGTGGGAGGGAGCCCATCCATGATAGCAGGTGGGTGTGAATGGGTGGTGAGGCGGGCTGGGTGTGGGGGATGGGGTTATAATAAAATCCCAAACAGATGCAGAGTGACACTCTTGACAGGTTCAGCCCGGCGGCATTCCTTGCATAGAGAGCCGACTGACTCAGACGATAGCGTACGGAGAAGCTGTACCTGTCAGAAATACTGGCACCACTGCCCCAAAGTCAGGGCCACCAATCCAGCTGGCGGAAATAGCCTGTCAACTGAAAATTAACATCTGCCAACTAACCAAACATACTGAGAATCTTCTGTCAGAGGCATCACCGTCTTCATCAGGTCAGCAAGCCAGACGTGTTCCCAGCCGCTTCACCCGGGAAAGCTCTCTTGAAAGGCATCCAGATCGCACCTCCGTCAGCGCCCTCTACATCCTCACCTGGGACGAACCGATGAGGTCGTGTTTACCTGAGCTGGTGCCGACCAGGCCAGCGCCCCACACGTCCTCATCTGGGGCGTGCCGATGACATGGTGTTCACCTGAGCTGGTGCCGACCAAGCCAGCGCCCCATACGTCCTCATCTGGGACGCGCCGATGAGATGGTGCTCACCTGAGCTGGTGCCGACCAGGCCGAGACCGCAGACGAGCAGGGCCGCCAGCGCTGTCATGCTGCCGCCGATGTCAGGCCAGACCACGCTCCAGAAGACGAGTGAGTTGCGCCGCCGGTCGGAGCCGAGCCGGCGTGATCCGAGGGTCACCGAGCAGCGCCGCCCACCCGAGGGTCGCCGGACAGCGCCGCCCACCCGAGGGTCGCCGGGCAGCGCCGCCCGCCGAGCCGGCCCTCAGCCAGGCGTGACGCAAGACGGCTCAGCTGCCCGGCCGCCCAGCTAACCCTGAGACCGCAGCCGGCTCCAGTACGTTGAGGCCTGCCCGTTACCCGCCGCAACCACCCCCGGGATTGGGCAGATCACGTTGCGTGACGGGTGGAGGTCGCGCTTGGAGAGGGGGGGGGGGGGGGCAGTACCGATGCAGTGCGACGGTGAGTAGATGCCGTCATCCATGGCGCGCTGAGAAGTGGCGTATGGTGGCTTGCGGTTCTCGCCGCGGCACACGGGCAACCTTGACCGTGAGCGGGCACTTCCTCAGCCTGTCGCCGGGAGGAGGGGGGGGGGGGGGGGGCACTCAGGCTGACCAGCTCAGGCACCCAGCGGCGGGACAGCCAGGCGTGGCAGAAGGCCGAGCACGCCGAGCACATGGGACGAGCTTCTACTTGGGCACTGAAGGTCTCATTTTCATACGAAATTATGAGGTAAATAAGAGAGAGAATTGTATCAGAAGTTAGCCACTAGCCAAAGCCGTTGCTCTCGTGACGGCAGGGGACCCAAAACAGGTACCTGGGAAATTTGAGCCTCGGCTGTCTTGACGTTCCTTTGCTTGCGAAGTGCGCTACGCAATATGTATAGCGAGAACATTTTCCTTGGATATAGCTGAATGAAGTGTCGCGCCCGGGCGGGAACGGCTGTTACCGGGGCTACAAAGACATCGGCGGTTATTTTCTTTCTCGAGCCTCGTTGAAAATTAAGCATTAAGCTCATGACTTTGCATGGAAACAGACAGGGCGAAAAAGCGCATGGTCCCTCCCTCATCTCTTGGGAGAACCCTCGTCAATGCGTTTGGAAAACGTCGCATACCACTTGTAATACGGACGTCGGAGTATGGGTGACATCACACTCACCAGAAAGCTACAGCAGACATTGGGGCGTTATACACGATGTCACTAGCGTCCTTGTGACAGGAAGATGTTTCCCATGCTCAAAGTAAAGATAGCTTTAACGTGAATTAGTGCAGAATCAGTTAAAAACCATTCACCCCAAAGCGCCATTCTATCGAGCAAAATCGAGTAGAAGTTGACGCGGTGACTTGACTCACGGATGACATTTACGAGCTCCGCGAAGTTCGGTCGCGACAATGCGATGACGCGGGGAAACACCCGCAGTGCATCAGACACCGCGCTCATGCAGCTTGAAGGTGGCAGCTTTGCAAACCAATGTCTTCTCTGCGAACTGGTCACGGTCACCGGGTCCCGCTGCAGCCACCCGCCGAGAATGACGTCACGGCGCCCACGGAGAGGGGCTCGACAGATCGGTCTCCCATCAGTCACGTGCGCGGTACTGGAAGAATGTGCAGAGTTGCATGTAAACTTACCGTTCAAAAAATAACCGATTTATTAATAAGTTTTTTTGCAGAAATATGTGCAGGGCATGGCTCACTACACAGAATACCTTTCCTGTTTTCTGCCTGCCAATGACATTCTGTTTGAGATGCAGCCATGACAAGTTTTATTTCAGATATTGCATTTGGAAGAAAATATGGTTGTGCCCACTGAACAACTTCCAGTGTGGCCACTGAAGGAATTTTCTGTAGAGCTGGCAGTACCACTTACTCACATTTGTAATCGGTCATTGCACGAAGGGTGTGTACCATCGGTGTAGGAGAGAGTTACTGTCACCCCTGTGCCAAAGAAAACATCGCCGAAACTGCCGGGAGACCTGCGACCCTCAAGCCTCACACCGACTTTTAGCAAGGTTTTGGAGAAAATTAATGTCCCACAAATTCTGGTGCACTTAAAAAAGCATGGACAAGCATCAACAAGAAAATACGATAGGTACCTCAGCCTTATACTATTTAATAAGGTTGTTGTATGACATGCTGACGGAGTTGGACGAGCCAGGCAGTTTATTTTCTCCGGTTACGTACGATTTCAAGAAGAGATTCGACCTCATTGATCATACAACGGTTATCCAGAACATGATTGCAATGGAACTTTACTCCGCGTATGCAAAGTGGCCATGTTTATTCTTGCAAGACCGACAGCAGCGGGTCAGAGTGCCAGATGGAATCACGAGTCAGTGGAGAACGGTAGCATGCGACACTCCACAAGGCACCCTAGTTGGCCCGATTGTTCTCCTGGCTATGGTTGGCAGTGGCGCTGCTTACGTTAAGAACCGACTGAGTTCTGTCGTCGATATAGCCATAAAATAGGAATGTCCAATTGACCAAGTAAATCAGCACTGCTAGCTGTAAGAGCACACTGACAAGATAGATTATTAGGCAACAGGAAAGAAAATAACATTAAATACCGGCAAGTGTCAAGTCATGCTTTTTTCACAGCCAAGAAACCATCAGCACTACCGTGCATCATGATTTAAGGAAAAAGCCTGTCACCATAACTAAGCTCTTCGGCATAAAACATAAAATGACGTCATGACAAGCACATGGTAATGAGATTGTAACCAAAAGATCGAAACCCCTATACATGCTCCACGTCATAAATAATTTCCATCATTCACAGGAGCAGCTTGTACTGGTTTATGCTGCTTACATTTGACCATTGCTAGATTATTGTTCACGAGTTTTTGATACGAAGCTCACTGCCAAGCAGGTGCAACGTCTTGAGAAAGTGCAGAAAAGAGACTTGAAAATTATCTTCGGGCGTACGGAAAAGTATTCGTACTACATGTAATGCGCGGGCATGAAAACCCTCGCTGACAGACGGGAAAAACTACGCATTAGGCTGCAAAAACAAATGCAAGGGTCTCTCATGCATGGGAATGTATTTTCAAAGCAGTGAGTGGCGATCTCGAGCATAAATACGCTGAGTGCAAGCACGCTAAACGTTTTCCTGTGGCATGCGAATACGCAAATCAAGTATCCTGCATATAACCACTCTCATCAACACAGATGTAGTAGCAAATAGGTAACAACCTTCTTCGAAGGAGCTTGTAGGCAAAGAATATTCACTGCATTAATCGGTACATACACATCGCGGATTCCATCGTCGAAGGATATTGTGCACATCTGCCATATCATTTGATACTTGAAGCCATGCTTTTCTTAATAAACCGTCCCCCCCCCCCGCCCCCGCCTCTCTCTGTCTCATTCATCATGCCAAGGCATATTGACAACGTGTTTTGTAAATTCAACACAAATCCGAGTTGAACTGGAATCCGGCGGGATTAAAAATGATTCAGGACATTTGTTCTGGGTCGCAGGGACTATTTGAGCACCCTGTTGCTACACGCGTGTTATGTATGATAGTAATGGATGGCATGACACCATATATTAAGTGGATTACCTATGCCGTATGGCATGCGTCATGCATGATGACACTGCAGTTTCCATATCTGTGCTTCACTACCCGCCACTGGTCCGCGTCAAGTTCTCGGTGAATGGCTCATTCCCAGTGACAACTAAATGTATCGAGCCATCAGCTGGCTTGCGGCGGAGGTCACCTGTGAAAGTGCATACCTGGCGGTACGCTGCCTTGGAAGCAGTGACCTATTCACGTTCTGTATGGCCATGCTCTGGTTGGAGCATGGAAAACCCGCGGGAAACTCGGGGGCGAATCAATTGTTGAATGGGGTTCAAAGCCTTGGAAGATCCTGAAGTTGTGAAATTATGAGGCCGACTGTATAAACGGTGTTGCACGAACATGTACGCGTGCGTGCATCTGCATGTGTTTTTAAACAAACTTATTTTACTGAGCTCTTTCCAGTAACGTTCACCTATTTTGTGAAGTCTAGCATGAGGGGCCGATACAAGTAATATGACCCTGTTGTTATGCGTCAGTAACTTTGACTCAACATTGCTTTGCAAGTACTTTTAGTACATACTATGCACTGGATTGATTTGCAAAATGCAATTGGTTCAAAACAGCGGTTAACTAGCACACAAATGTGGCCATTTGAGACCGCATTTCACGCATAGTCTGCATTTCGATTGGTCACCTGAGCGGAAAGCTCATATATGCTCTACAATATGTATGAACACTCCTTCCGTTAGTTGGTATGGTTAACTCACCAAATCGGGTCAAGCGAGATTCAGTGAAGTGTTTACTGTCTTGTCGCAGCTGTTGTTTTTCCGCAGATAACGGCCGGCTTATGTCTCCCAGCTACCGAACATTGACGCATGGTGAATTTACCTGAAGGTCTCTTGATTGAGTATCTTGATAGATATTCTATAATATTGTCTTGAATGACTAAGCACTTCTAACCCTGCAGTGCGACGATGTCAACGCTGTAAATTGTTTGCAATATTATCCCGAGCTCTTTCAGGATCTGAACTAAAGTGACCCTAACAGTGAATGACTTCACCACCATTGGCGCATATGGGCTGTTCTGGCTCGTGGTATCATCCTTTTGTTGGACAACTTTATACTTTTTTGTGACGACATTATTGCTGGACAACGTTGCTCAGCGTGACCTCGATTTACCTATGCAAAGGTTTCATTCATTGATAGTGTCTGTTGTACTGCCAAATGAAAGCTTCATAATCGCTTGACAAGTCGACACATTGCAAGCAGTTTCGAGAGTGTCTAGCGAAACGTTAAAATCGCACATTTACGCGGTGCAGAACTTAAGAAATGACCTCACATCGCAATGCATTCAAGCACGTTGAGAACATTTAACTTATAGGCGAACTGTATGGCACTTTCAACTCACGCAGCCCAGCAATTAATCATGATCCGCTGAGGTCTTCGGGATGTGCTTAAAGAGCCGGAGACCGTGCCACGACTCGCACGCAGGTTAGGTCGCAGAGGTTAACCAGACGCTCACCCAGCGAGCGAAGGGAGACTCAGAGTGGCACTGAGTGTGGGAATGAATAACCGCTGCCAGTTTCATACCGGGTTTCTTC